TTTTGGAAAGATCTTGATATGTAGCTCAGACTGGCCTGCAGCCTGAGATTCAGCCTCCTTGTGGTTGAAATTACAGGTATGTGCATTGTACCAGACCACAATACATCTTGGGCAAAAGGTCTGGGCTTCTTATCTCGGGGGGGGGGGGGGGGGGGGGGGACAGGGGGGGGGGACAGGGGGGGGACGGGGGGGACGGGGGGGGCTTCTTAAGAGTGTGTGTGTGTGTACTTTGCAACTGAGCTACATCCCAGCCCATATTCACTACATTTTTTGGTGGTGGTGGTGGTCCTGGGGCTTGACCTTGGGACCTGGGTGCTGTCCCTCAACTCAAGGCTAGTGCTCTACCACATAAGCCACAGCTCTACTTCTGGTTTTCTGGTGGTCAATTGGAGATAAGAGTCTCATGGACTTTCCTGCCTGGGCTGGCTTTGAACCACGATCCTCAGATCTTAGCCTCCTGAATAGCTAGGATTACAGGCATGAGTCACCAGAGCCAGCTCCACAATACATTTTTGATCCATGAACATAAACTAATTAGGGGGCTGGGAAGGTGGCTCTGGGGTAGAGTGCTTGCCTCGCATACATAAGGCCCTGAGTTCAATTCCTCAGCACCACGTAAGCAGAAAAAGCCGGAAGTAGCGCTGTGGCTCAAGTAGTAGAGCGCTAGCCTTGAGCTGAAGAGCTGAGGGACAGTGCCAGGCCCAGAGTTCAGGACCTTCAGGAGATCTTGAAGAGTCCTTAGTAACCTTGTAGAGGCCAAATCCAACAAGTGTTAAATCTAACTCTTCCCTGAAGTCTCGGCACACCAGACAGAGACTCCTCCTCTCCTCTGGGCCCCAAGGTGCCCTCCCCTTGAGACATCTACTGAATATACCTGGTGGCCATTATGCGTACCACCTCTGGAACAGACCCCCACGATCCATCCACATGACACAGTCAATCAGATCTCCAGCTCCAGCCTCTCCAACTCTATCTGGACTCCAGACCTGCACCTCCAGCTGCCTCCTCAGTTTGCTAGGCCCTTCAACAAGCACCTCGGATTTACCACATTCAAAAGCAAACACTGTCCTGTCTTCCTCCCATTTCCCCTATCTTAGTGAGTGTCATACCAGCCAGTAAATCACCAAGAGATGAAGCAGTTGCTCTAGAGACATTCCTTCAACCAACATTACCAAATGCCTATGGTACACCAAGCGATGACACCAAACACGACAGACAGAACCCTGCCTTATGAAGATAAGAAATGCACTAGGAGACAGGCAGTAAACAGGCAAGAAAAGTAAAGTAATATGGCCCTGTAAGTAGCAAGAACTGCTAAGGAGAAAAGTCAGAGTAGTGGCTGGTTGCACAGCTATGGCTTTTACGGCTCACACTAGGCAGGTGCCCACCTGGCTGACAGAGTGGGACCAAATCAGCTAGGGAAACTGGATAGTGAAGCAGACAAGGGAAGAACTTTATTGAGAGTACCATTTGGCCCCAAGAGTCGGCACGGGCTGGCTCGACCGTCTCAGCCAGCCTGAAGTAATCCGGACCCTCTCCCTCCCTCTTCCTCCGGCCTTCAGCCTCACTCCCAGCCCCAAGGCAGATCTACCTTATCCTAAATCTCCCTAATCCAGCGGTGTCACTGTCCTAATTCCAAGGCTCCTAGGCTTCACCTGGTGTCAGGTGAAGTTCACAGCCTCACCATACTCTGCGGCTAGACACCCTGGCCCCCCTGGCCTGCATACCTCAAGGTGAAAGGAGCCACCTCCTTTCTTCCTCCTCCACCACTTTGGGACTCCTCGAAATAACAGGCCACGCTCAGCCTTTATTTCTAGCCATCAGGAAGACAGCTTCAGGGCAACACAACACTCAGCTAACTCAACTTTCCTACCAGTGCAAGTAATGACTTCCCCATTACTCAGTGAATTAGGTGTTTAACCTGGGACCTGCCAGATTAACAGCTTTATCTCTCAACCAGTTTCACAGTGATTGTCATCCAGTAGTTCTCAACAGTCACCAGTCATTTAAGCACATCCTTCTACAATCTTAATTTGCCATTTTTATTCTATTCCCTAAGACACAATACATACTTCCCAGCTCCTCTGATCCAAAATACACAAGATTAAGGCTGAGCACCAGTGGCTCATTCCTGTAATCGTAGCTACTCAGAAGGCTGAGCTCTGAGGATTGTAGTTGAAAGCCAGCCCTCAAAGTCCATGAAACTCTTATCTCCAATTCACCAACAGAAAACCAGAAGTGATGCTGTGGCTCAGTGGTAGAGTGCTAGTCTTGAGCAAAAAAGCTCAGGGAGAGCGCCCAGGTCCTGAGTTCAAGCTTCAGGACCAGCATCTAAAATTTAAAAAAAAAAAAAAAAAAGAAGAAAAAGAAAAAAAAAAGTGATTTTGGGGTGTCAGTCTTAGGGTTCAAGATCACTTTTGTGGGGGGGAGGGTCGGTCATTGGGCTTAAACTCTGGGCCTAGGTGCTGTCCCTCAGCTCTTAAGCTCAATGCAATCTACCATGCCACTTCTTGTTTTCTGGGGGTTTATTGGAGATAAGAGTCTCACAGACTTTCCCGCCCTGGCTGGCTTTGAATCATGATCCTCAGATCTCAGGCTCCTGAGTAGCTAGGATTACAGACATGAGCCACCAGTGCCCGGCTTTTGCTAACAACTTTTTATTGCATAAAATCTAGGTTCCTGTCATTTTATTCATCTAAGAACTAATTTTATAACCCCACCACTTGTAAATTTTCTACTTCTAGCTTTTTTGTCGGCTGTGGGGCATGAACTCTGGTCCTAGGCACTGTCCCTCAGCTCTTCAGCTCAAGGCTAGCACTCTACCACTAGAGCCACAATGCCACTTCCGGCTTTTTCTGCTTATGTGGTACTGAGGAATCCAACCCCAGTACCTCATGCATGCAAGGCAAGTGCTCTACCACTGAGCCACCTTCCCAGCCCCTAGCTTTTTTTTGTGTGTGGGGGGGGATCTGGTCGTGGGGCCTGAACTCTGGGCCTGGGCGCTGTCTCTCAGCTCTTCAGCTCAAGGCTAGCGCTCTACCACTTGAGCCACAGCGCCACTTCCTAGCTTTTTTTTTGGGGGGGGGGGGGTCCGGTCGTGGGGCCTGAACTCTGGGCCTGGACGCTGTCCCTCAGCTCTTCAGCTCAAGGCTAGCGCTTTACCATTAGAGCCACAGCACCACTTCCGGCTTTTTTCTACTTGCTTCTGTGGTGCTGAGGAGTCGAACCCAGGGCCTCATGCATGCAAGGTAAGCGCTCTAACACTGAACCACCTTCCCAGCCACAGCTTTTTTTTTTTTTTTTTAAGACAATCATGTTTCCATATAGTTTTTGGTCCGTTCCAAAATAGACTTCCAAAATAGAGTTCCACATAGACTTGAAGAAACATGCTTACAGTTAACAACAGCTTTGGGTTTTGGTTTTTTTGCCTTTCTGGGAATCCCATCCATTCTCTTACACCTGTAATCCTATCTACTCAGGAGGTACAGATCTGATGATCATAGTTCGAAGTCAGCCAGGGGAAGAAAGGACATGAGCCTCACCTCCAATTAATTGCCTAAATACCAGAAGTGGGTCTGTGGCTCAAAGTGATAGAGTACTAGCCTTGAGCAAAAACAGCTCAGCAACAACATCCAGGCTGAACTCAAACAAAAAAAAGGAAATACTTAAGGTAATTGTATACCCCTTCCGAGTGGAATTCCCTTCTGCTTTGTTGGATAAAATCCTGGTATCATGTATCACACCGTTATACTCCCATACTTTTTTTTTTGAGACAGGGTTATGATGCGTAGCCGTTGGCCTGGAATTCTCAGCCTCTCAAGCTGGGATTTACAAGCATGCATCACCATACCCAGCTACGTTTTCTGTGTATTAAGCACTTACAACACACTGCAGTCAGAAGAACGAGCCAGAGCTGTAGTGGCTCTCTCCTGGCACCACCACAGCCTCCCAGGCTCACCTGCAGCGTGATGTGCATTCTTTGATGACCTGGAGAGTGTCTGCCCTTCCATGGATAACTTCGCAGAGCCTGAAATCTTAACTATTAGTACCACTGTATTCTTACTAATATTTAGGAAACAAAACGGAGTCAAATTTCTCAAAGTAACTGAGGCTTGTGGCCAGTTTCTGGAAAGTAAGTCCCTACCACATGATCTGGAGGCTGAAGGAGGATGGAAATGCATTAGACGTAGGCCAATTACAATGCATTAGAAACTGATTCTGGTCAAAGGCTTAGTCATGCTGTGAAGGAAAAAAAAAAAACCCTCGGAATCTAACACAAAGAACCAAACAGGCAGCTGCCTTTTAACACAGTTTAAATAGTATTTACCTCAAACACTGGCTCTCAATTTTGAAAGGCGCTTTTGTTTTTGCAAGTAATCCTAATCATCACTTCATATGTAAATTCTCAATGTTTAGAGAGAACACTGACCGGCCGCCACAGCGACACAAAGAATGCACCTGGACGCGGCTCGCGGCGTCGCTCTCGCCAATTACCTCACTTTCCCCTCGCGTGCTCTCTTAGGGGAGGGGCGCAGCGCAGGTGGCTGCGGGAGGGGCGGCGGCGCGTCCTGCGGGCGCGGCGCGGGGAGCGGGGAGGGCCCCGGATGACAGCGAGGGCGGTGCCCGGCGGTAGAGACCCGCGGGCTGGAGGCCGGAAGGGGAGGCTTCGGACAAAGCGGCCCGGCCGCCCCCGCCGCCTCCCGGGGCCGCCGCCCCGCCGCGCGGCTCGGGCTCGCAGCTGTCACGGGGACGGCCGCCCCCGCCCGCGAGGCCAGCCCGGACGCGGGGCGGGCGGGGCGGCGGAGCCCGGAGGGGCGCGGCTGAGGGCCGGCGGGGGCCGGAGGGGCTGGGGCTGGGGCGCGGGCCGGGCCGGGGAGGAGGGGCGCGCGTGGGAAGGAGCCGGGCCGGGCCTGCAGGCTCGCGGGTGGGCCGGGGCGGGCGCGGGCGCCGCGGCGGGTCCCGCTGCCCGGCGTCCCGGGGCGGCCGGGCCGCGCACTCACCGTCCGGTCCGGCGGGCCGCGCTGGTTCGCGCTGTCACGGAGCAGCGGCCGCCGCGCACAGCCCGGCCGCCTGGGGCGGGCGCCGCGGTCACGAGCGAGAGGCGCCTCGGCGGCCTCCGCGCAGCATCCTCCGCGCGCGGCCTCGCGCTCCAGCCGCCCGCCGCGCTACCTCAGCCGCCGAAAATGGCGTCGCCGGCGCCGCGCCCGCCCCACAAGGCCGCGCGCCGTGACGTCACCCGCCCTCGCGCCGGGGGCGGGGCGCGGCGCCGGGCGGCGGCCGTGGGGCTCCGGGCTCCCGCGCGCGACGCCCCGGCCCCCCGCGCCAGCCGGGCCCCGCGCCGGCCGCCAAGGAGGACGAGCGCGGCGGCCTGCGCCCTGCGGTCTCCGGACGAGGCGCTGGGCCTTCGTCACTGTCCCCGGGACGAGGCACGATCCTCCGGCCCCCGCCGCTGCGGACGCCCGGCGTGCGGGACCGGGCCACGGAGAGTGCCCGCGCCCGCCCGGGGCCCGCGCCCCCGGTCTCCCTCGCGGTCTGAAGGCGGACCTGCGCGGCCCGCCGACGCCGGGCGAGGCCTGCCCGCCCCAGGGTCCGGACCGGCTGCCGGGACGCCCGCGCAGGTCACCGCGGGACGCAGCACCGGAGAAGCAGAGCGGCCTGGGTGCCTGTGTTCAGCAGCCGCCTCCCAGGCCCCGCGTTCCCGGCGGGAAAGCCCCCCGCCACCTCTGTTCAGCTGTCTGGCTCTCCTCTGCCCTGCCCATTGCGCTCCGAGGGGCCTGGACAGAAGAGCAGAGTGCTGGCGAGCAGGCACCGGAGCTCTCCCTCCAGTGACAGACACAAGGACGCATCTGTCCTTGCTCAGAATTCAAGGAAGATGGCAGCCAGGGGCTCACACCTGTAATCCTAACTACCCGAGAGCCTGAGATCTGGGGATACAGGTTTGAAGCCAGCCTGGGCAAGAAAGTCTGTGAGACACTTAGCTCCAGTTGAACAGCATGAAAGCCTAACGTGGAAGAGCATTAGCCTGGAGCAAAAACAGCTCAGAGACAGTGCCAGGCCTGGAGTTCAAGCCCGAGCACCAGTACAAAAGAAATAAGCACAGTAGGCAAAGACTACATAAAGTCGGGGATAGAGGGACTCAGAGGCAGACCAGAACTGACACACAAGAGATAGGAAGGATCTCCTCTGATCTTCCACCTGTCCCTTGCACTGTGGTCAGTTTACACAGCTGTCTTCTCCGGGGCCTGAGAGCGCAAGAACAGGAGACCCCCATGTCCTGGCCACGCAGCCCTGCCCAGCACCTGCCGCACAGCATCAGCTGAGGCAGATAGCAGAACAGAACGGAAGGTCAGATTTCCTTTACTTCACCCCTCCCCCGTGGTGGAGTAAGTACACAGGCTCCCCTCAGTCCCTGACTCATACCATGCGCCTCGGGAGTTCGTGCCAATCTGTAGAACTACTGATGGCTGAGCACAGGCCCTTCCCAAACGGCTGTCCAGAGCCAAAAGTCTTGAATGCTTTGCTCCTCTGTTCTGAATATTTATATGGCAGCTCACCCAGTACAGCTGCCAGGAGTACTTTCATCTTTACCAAGGGCACCTATCTGAGACCAGCAAGTACCCCATCAAGTACCCTCCTTGCTGAGTATCCTCAGTCTCTTCCAAGAGACTGATCTCTGATCTTCACAGCAACCTAAGAATAGAGGGCAAGTGTCTGCATGTTACAGATGTGGCAGGTGAACTGCAAGTTCGGGGGTTTCCTCACTGTCTCCTGGAAAGAACAGTTATTCACTTTTAGGAATCAAACAGGAGCCCTGTGCTCCTCCAGGGTAGATCCTGGCAGAAGCCAGGAGCTGTGCCTACATGGTGGAGAGCCTCCCTGGGCTGCAATGGACATTCCCTAGAAACCTAGAGGGCCAGGGAGGGCCTGGGGGCAAACACTAAGGTTGCCAGGGAAACCCTGAACACCTATTACGTTGATCCTGTTGGCCTCTAAGCATACCTAGGAATGGCACATGGCTAGAAGGTTGGGTTGTTCTTGTTTTGTTTTGTTGGGGGTGACTGAGGCAAGGGACCCCACCATGGCAGGACAAGGGGCTCCTCCAGCAGACCACAGAACAGACTCTCTCCTTGCTCCCTAGAAAGTGCTCTTCTGTCTGGTCAGCCTGTGTGGCAGTGCTACTTCCTCCATCTCTGCTTCTTTACCATCTTCCTTTCCCGACAGAAAGATCTGGTCCTCTGCCTTCTTTTTTTTTTTTTTCTGTCGGTCGTGGGGCTTGAACTCTGCGCCTGGGCGCTGTCCCTCAGCTCTTCAGCTCAAGGCGAGCTCTCTACCACTTGAGCTACAGCGCCACTTCCGGTTTTCTGGTGGTTTATTGGAGATAGGAGTCTCACGGTCTTTCTTGCCCGGGCTGGCTTTGAACGTCGATCCTCAGATCTCAGCCTCCTGAGTAGCTAGGATTACAGGCGTGAGCCACCAGTGCCCAGCTCCTCTGCCTTCTTTTCTCGCCATCTCCTTCCTGCCTCTGGCCCATTTCCTGTCCTGCCCTGAAACCTGGCCAGGTCAACAGTCCACCTGGAGGTCTAGCTGCAGACTTGGAGGCAGCTGTCTACCTACATTCACTTGTCAGTGTTAACTGCATGCTGGTACCTGGGGCATCAGAGATAAGCCTGGAGCAGATGGCTTCATATTCATTCTGTCCCCAATTTATTTATTTTTTTGGTCCGGTTGTGGGGCCTGAACTCTGGGCCTGGGCGCTGTCCATCAGCTCTTCAGCTCAAGGCTAGCACTCTACCACTTGAACCACAGCACCACTTCCGGCTTTTTTCTTTTTGTTTATGTGGTGCTGAGGAATCGAACCCAGGGTCTCAGACATGCAAGGCAAGCGCTCTACCACTGAGCCACCTTCCTAGCCCCTCTGTCCCCAATTTGTATTGAGAACTGGTGACAATTTCAAGCTGCCTCTGACTTGAGATTGAACAACCAGAAAACAAAGTGCCTGGCTAGTGAACCCTGACTGGTGCAGGAGTTGGAACAAGAGGTCCTGAAACTTCACCAGTACGTGGAGGAACCTGCCAGAAGAAAAGGACACTGCCCCAAACAGAACAAACTTCTAACTTCTCTCGTCTCTCCCAAGTAGAAAATAGAACTAGGTTGTTAAGATTTTTATTAACGTTTTTTATTAGCACACATTAGTTGCACAAGGGGGGGTGGTTCTTTTGTAACACTTCCACACGTGCATGCAATGCACCCCATCAACCTCACCCCTCTATTACCTTTGTTCCTTATTTCCCCCTTTCTTTTTTTTTTTTTTTTTGTTGGTCATGGGGCCTGAACTCTGGGCCTGGGCACTGTCCCTCAGCTCTTCAGCTCAAGGCGAGTGCTCTACCACTTGAGCTACAGCGCCACTTCCGGTTTTCTGGTGGTTTATTGGAGATAGGAGTCTCACGGTCTTTCCTGCCCGGGCTGGCTTTGAACCGCGATCCTCAGATCTCAGCCTCCTGAATAGCTAGGATTACAGGCATGAGGCACCAGCGCCCAGCTATTTCCCCCTTTCTTAAAACAATCTCAACAGGTTCCATTGCTTTTTCATCTATGCAAGCAAAGTAAGAAGCTATTGTATTTTTTTCTTGGCAATACATAAATTTGAACTCGGGTTCATGCTTGCTAGTCTGGCACTCTACCACTTGAGCCCAGCTTTTTACAGGGTATTTTGGAGATAGAGTCTCCCAGCCTCTTGAGTAGCTAGGATTACAGGGGTGAGTCACCAGTGCCCAGCTAGAAGCTACTGGGTTTTTGTTGTTTGTTTGTTTGTTTGTTTTTTGCTTGGTTTTTTGGGTCTGGTCATGGGGCCTGAACTCTGGGCCTGGGCACTGTCCCTCAGCTCTTCAGCTCAAGGCTAGCACTCTACCACTTGAGCCACAGCGCCACTTCCAGCTTTTTTCTTTTTGCTTATGTGGTGCTGAGGATTCAAACCCAGGGCCTCATGCAAGCAAGGCAAGTGCTCTCCACTGAGCCACCTTCCCAGCCTGAAACTACTGTTTTAAAGCATTTTTTTTCACATGTAAATGTTTGTGGATGTCTGTCTTGGAGGGCAGCCCCTTGGAAGAGCCAGGACACCAAGATTTGCCTTTAATACTTGAGGGGTCTGTATCCCAATGGACAACTCCGGTCCAAGAAAAAGAAAGATGAGGGGAAAAGAGAGGGGAAAGGAGATGAAGAGGAGGAGTAGAGAAGAGGAAGAAGGAAAGGGAGGGTGGGAGGAAGGGAGTCTGGGAAGCAGTAACGCAGGCAGGGGATGACTGGCGGGCCAGGCAGGTCAGCTTGGGACAGTCATCTCCCTTCCCAGAAGCCTCTCCCAGCCAGGACACAGCAGGTCTGTGCGAGCCTTGGGGACGAGTCACTGGTGGGCAGGCCTGCCAACCAGGGCTGATCTGGCTTGGTCTTGCCTTGCTCTGGGCTCCAGGTCACACCCTTTCTGGTCTCAGACTTTCATTCTAAAAATGGAACTTAGTCTCCAGAGCACTTCCTTTGCAGAGCCTGAGCTGCCGGGCACAGAGCTCTGGACAAAGGAGAAAACAGAAATACCTCAAGCAAGCAGCACTCGCCACTTTCCTGATGAGGTCCAGGTGGTGACCCCAGCCCCAGAAGCCCAAGGTCATGATGTCTGCTCCCACATGACCCACGGCCACGGGAGATTTGTCCCAGTACAGGTGAAGGAAGAAGCCCAGCACCCTGCATGCAACCCCTTGGGCCCAGGGACAGCACATGAGGAGAGATGCCTAGTGGTGGGCAGAGAAGACATCACACAGAGGCAGGTCTGGCCGAGTGTGCATTTGTACATGTATCACACTGACTTGAGCCCAAATATTTCTTTGGATTTGAGTCAGGAACAAGGGATGCTCACGTCCCAAGTGGCCGGGAGAACCATTGTCCTGCCATGCCCAGAATCATGAGACAGCCTAGGGAAGTGACCAGCTTCCCACAGTTATGGCAGGGGGAGTGCACCCTCTTTCTGTGATTGTCTAGAAAGAGCCTTGTCAGGAGTGGGGGAGGGATAGGTGTCTCTGTGATTGGAATAACTCCCTGCCGGCTCGATAAGCATCGCCACAGATAGTGACTACCAGGCTGCAT